GAGCGAATCCACATCCACATCCACAGCCGCGGCGCGAGCGCAGGACGAGCGAGGTCGGTGGCGGCTGCCCGAGTGCCCTCGTCGCGTCTCGGGGGCGGCCGCACAGGAAGGGCCAGCTGCAGCTGCAGCTGCCAGCGGCGGCCACTCACCTGCTGGTTCCGGCGGTCCTGCTGCTGTCGGCCTCCGGTGTCTTCGCTTGCTTCTCCTTCCTTCCTTCCTTCCTTCCTTCCCGCGCTCCGGTGCTCCTTCGCCCTGTGCACGCACGCGGCCTCCGGCTGGCTCCTTCGTCGCTCGCTCGCTCGCTCGCTGCGCGGTCGCCGCACACGCACTGCCCAAGAGGCGGCCAAGAGCTAAAAACCCGCGCCCGCGCCCGCCAACTGCTCCCTCCGCCGCCGACCTGGCCGGCTCCGCCCTCCCGCGCCCCGCCCCCCCCGGCGCCAACGCCGCGCCGCGCCGCGCCGCGCCGCGGCCGGGTTGCGCAACCAGCCTCCGCGGCAACTGCTTCTGCACCTCCGCGCGCCGCCCGCGCGAGGTGTGCGCGCACATGTGCGTTTGTGAATAGATGTGCGCGATCGCTCGTCCCACAGGAGGTGAGAAAATACGACGGCTGCTTGGAAACTTCTAGAGAAACCTTCTGACGGCAGTGCGGGGTTTCTCTACGCATGTGCGGAGGCGTTTTTCATTCCAACTGTTATTTTATGATTCAGGTCTCTGAACAAATGTTACAAACTCTTGTATATGTATAGGGATGGAAGATATTCACATTTGGCTATGAAAATGTGGGAAATTTCATAAAACGAAGGTACACTCGTCTTGCTCCTTTTTATGCACTGTTGTTTGGCCGGTCACATTCCGTCACAGTCAAAGTTATTCATGTACCTGCCTAACAGTGATGCATGAGAAGTTGCTTAACAATCAGATGAAAATATACCACATTTCGACATATGAAATTTCCCGCTGCATATTCAGTATCAAAAAATGCTTATCTTCGGCCTCTATGTATGAGTCATTCCTCGTCATATCTCACTCTCACAAAACATTACAATTTCTTAGCAACTTAGTTTTCTCTACGAGTTACTCGATCGCTCACCCGTCCACCCGCCCGCCAGCCAATCAACCACCCGCCCAACCAACCACCCGCTCCCGACCGCTCCCGCCCTCCTACGTTCCCTCGGATAAGTTTTCGATCCCTGTGGTTTGCTTTTCGAGCGACGCCTCAGTCGGCGGTCGAAGGTCCCCTTCTCAGCCCGCTACTTCCGCGCCCATCCTGCCCTCGAGCCTCACAGCCTTCTTACAATTAGCTGCTCTCTTCTAGAAGAAAAGGAAGAAGGAAGAGAAAGAGGTGGGAAGAAGATAAGGAAGGAGGAGAACAAAGAAGGAAGGCGCTGAGGAAGAAAAAATACAAACAGGAAGAAGGAAGACAAAGATGAAGAAAGTAGATAAAGAGAAAGAAGGAAGTCAAGAGAAAGGAGGAAAAAGGAGGAAGGAGGCAAAAGAGGATGAAGGAGAAAAAAGAGGAAAAAGGAGGAAACAGGAGGAAAAAGGAAAATTATTTTGCCCGCGAAATATAATACAGTCGACTCCGGTTGTAGTGAACTCGGATATAATGAACTCTCTGTTATTGTGAACTTAAGTCACTGGTTCCGTTTCACTTACATTATAAATAAGCATACGAAGATTCCATTACAGTGAACCTTAATCTCGGTTATAGTGAACCTCAGATATAGGAAATAAACGACCTGTAAGTTAATCTCCTCGTGGAAAATAATATTTTGCCTCAGTGCAACAAATTCCAACACTAGGCAGCTTGAAAAAAATATCGGCGAAATGTCATAATCGAAGAAGTCTCCCCTAAGGTGAAATGCAACGGACCTGGAATGGGGCCACGCCATTCAGTTTCAAGCTTGATGTTACGTGATGTTCCACGGGTCTATGCGCGTTGTATTCTACGTAGGCGACAGGAAGCGCGCCACACCCCTCCCGATACTCGCCGTGGTACGCGGAAAAGCTTTTGCAACCGATAGGATCTCGTATAGCGAGTAAGAGATCATTCGAAGAATGGAGCTTCCAACAGTGCACAAGGCATTGAAGGGTGCCAATACTGCATTACGATACTTCGATACAGTGGACAATGCAGGCTCACGTTTGGTGACAGCACGAACTCTAGAAGGGTCTAGAGAAATTAGGAATAAAAAATGTACGAAGCAAACGATTGAAAATAATTGAAATTTTTAATGATAAATATGATGAAATTGTCCGTTCGTTCTGTTAATGTATTTTCTGTGTATCTACTTATATTAATAAAATCAATAATTTTGGAGCCATTCTATTTAATTTTGGTATCCTCCGATATAGTGATACAGTGAACCAAACATGTTCATTATAACCGGAGTCTACTGTAGTTATGCCTGTGACTCCCGGGCTTTTTGTCGCACAATACGTGCAGAGTTCACATACTTCTGTTGATAGTATTGAAGTCAAATATTCTATTTTGCCGTTGGCCTGGATAGCCGAGAACGCGAAGGCTGAAGAAGCGTAACTGCCTCGATTCGATGTATCTCGGGTTCGGATCCCGCTTCGGGCATGGATGTTAGTGTGTGTTCATGTTGTCTTTACATGTTCTTCCTACAGTTCACGCAATCACGTAGTCGTTATATGACCAAATTGTTACTGTACTATTGTACTATTTACGGTTTCTTTATTGCAATTAATATTCGTATCATCCGCAAAGAGAACTGTTCTTCCGTTTCTAATCGTCGATGGCATATCGTTTACGTACAGTAGAAAGAGAACAGGGCCTAAAATCGATCTCTGCGGGACTCCACATACAATTGCCAAAGAATCAGAAAGGTATATACATAATGTTCCATTATTCCAGGTAGGTATTTCTACTATCTGAGATCGTTGTTTATGGTACGTACATAACCAATCTAGAGCAACACCACGAATTCCATTCGAAGGTAATTTTGAGAGTAAAATGTTGTGATCAATGACATCTAAGGCTTTTGAAAGATCTAAACATATTCCAATAGGTGCTTCGTTTTGATCCATGGATGAGGCGACATCTTTAAGAAAAGAAAATAATGGCTGTTTCGTAGATTTGTTTTCGAACCCATGTTGGGCAATTCCTGAAACGCGCCATGTTTTACAAAGCAATGTTTCCATTCGGTAACGTAAAAAAATGTTTTTTTCTCTAATATTTTTGAAAAAAACGAACAAAAAAGAAATTGGTCATAATTATGAAATTTTCATTTTTTTGTCTTTTTGGAAAAGCGGCTTAATCTTTAGCTGTTTTAAAAATATCTGGAAAAATTCCTGTGCATAAGGATACATTAAATATGTGAGTTAACATGTGTATAATGGTGGGCGCGCAAGCCTTTAACAAACAATCCGGAAATTTATCTAAACCGACCGTATATTAATTATTTTGTCTGCCGATTATTTCCAGAATTTCATGGGAAGAAGTTTCGGAAGCAAACAACAAATAATTTTATTTACGACTAAAATACTTATCGTGCATCGTTGGTACAGTTATGTAGAACGTGAATACACTGAATTCAATGGCCGAAAGCTTTTTTCGTTTAAGCATTTGAATTTAAAAAAATATGTATTTTTTCACGTTTGTTTAAGAATTTTGCGTATATATTTTTGCGAACAATATAACGAGAAAGTACGTGCTATTGTAGCACCACTAGTTTGTTCGCGTTGCGAGGAATGTATTTGCACTCCGAATGTACTGATGTATTTCCTTCAAGCAATCCCCAACCTTAATTGAAATTAACCCAATTAGGTTTTCTCTCATAAAAATACGATTTAAATGTCATATGAAAGAAAGTATTTGCTTGCCTTCAGGAAATATCACATTGAAATGCAACAATGGCATTCCGCCTCGCGAGACGGCAGCTGTAGTTCTGAGAATTGTGTCTCATTGTTGAGAAACGATTTAGCTTATGAAACGCAGTTATAATTGTCGTAGACCAGGACGATCGAGGTGGCTAGAGCGTGTGCCAAATCAGCGCCTCGATCTGAAGGGTCGCGGGTACGAGTTTCTGGTAGTTTGTTCCTTGTCTCTCAAATATGTGTTGTCGCGGAAGGCATTGTGAGATTGCTGATAACAGACCGAGAAGCCCGCACCTAGTGTTCTACAATTTGTAATGAGTTTTACAAAAAAATATAACTTAGATGTGTCAATTTGCGGTATTACTTAACCATTACTAAGGGCGAGAATGTATGGGCTGTTTAGCACCTCTAGTTTATTATGTAAAACGTGAAAAGTTCTTCGTTAATAAAACATCGTTATTTCTGTAGTCGCCGTAGTTCAAAACAGTACCACGGATATGGCCCAACTTAAATATATACTGACAGTCATATATACCCTGTGACAATTGTCCAATCAGGAGTATTGTTACAACTTAAACATTTATATACAAACTTTCAATTGGGTCATAGTGGTCCCTTGTCGTTTCATCTCTTGACTTTGTGGAGTCACTACATTTAAATTAGACATCAGAGTCAGTGAGTTTACAAAGAAAGTGTTATGTGTGGTGGGTGGTGCTTGTGCAGAGAATATTGTACTCTCTGGTGCTCTCTGGGTTGCTCTGGGTGGTGAGCCCTACAACTGTGTTTAGTGATATTTATCAGTATTTATTTGGTTAAATGGGTTGATTGTGAGGTGTTGGAGTTTTATGCTGTTCAAGTAAATTACTCACACTCATTTTCGGCAAGGTTAATTTGTTCGAGTGTTTGTTTTGAAGATGAAGTTTAACACACGTTATAGTTTTTAATTAAAAAAATGCCGAACCCAAACTGTTTCAATTATTAATAAGTATTTGCACATGACTTTCAGATCTGTAAACTGAAAAATCAATGCAGTAAGAGATTCGGACCTTTATTGAGTCGCTTGTAATACCAGTGCTTTCTTCTCTATTTGTTTTCTTGAACCTAACCTAAACACAAGGAACGGGCCATACAGCTGGTGTAGAACTTGTTCTAGTTCCAACATGTTGTTAAATATAACGAAGAGGCTTGTGTGTCGCAAGTGGTCAACACGTTCTATGTCTTCAAACGTGCTACCATACAATGAACAAGAAATGGAGACAGCAATTGTGCCTTCAACTCCCATTTTGAAGAGGGAATTATTGTACCCGTGCAAATATGAATGCCCTAGAGAAGCCTGGGTTGAAAATTTAGATACAGTAAAGGATCAAAAACTTGGTATGATTCATTTGCATCCAGAAGTATTTGGTGGGAAGCCTCGGATGGACCTTTTGCATAGGAATGTTCATTGGCAAAAAATGATACGTTATGTCAGTTTTGCTCATACAAAAACCAGAGCTGAAGTGAAAGGAGGTGGAAAAAAGCCGTGGCCTCAGAAAGGTCTAGGAAGGGCTCGTCATGGTAGTATTCGTTCCCCTTTGTTCAAGGGTGGAGGAATTGCACATGGACCTCGCTCCCCAACTACACATTTTTACATGTTAAATTTTTATTCTCGAATTCATGGATTAATTGCAGCTCTGTCAGTAAAATTAGCACAGGATGACCTACATATAGTAAATTCTTTAGAGATTCCAACTGAAGATCCAAAGTATTTGGAAGAGTTAATAGAAAATAGGAATTGGGGACCTTCTGTGTTAATGATAGATGTGGATGATATCATGCCTCAGAATATCTCAGTTGCTACTGATGAAGTACCTCATGTAAATTTGATGCCAGTTTATGGATTGAATGTGTACAGTATGTTGAAACATAGCACTTTGGTTCTTACAGTTAATGCTGTTGACAGGATTGAAGAAAGGATATTGTATCATCTACACAGAAGTGATGGAAGAGAAGCTGTTAAGCCATACCACTTCAACAATAATAGTTAAAAATGGATGATAACAGGAAAGAAATAATTAATTCTTTTAAACATCAGTGAGCAGTTAATGAATAGCTTGTCAAAAACAAAATGTTTGTGTGTTAAGGAAATACGTTGAAAATAAATATATTGCCTGTGCTAGAATGTTCTTTTGACTGTATTTGCTCATCTAATGTTTCACAATTAGAAAAAAAACCCACCTTTCTCTGATATCCAGTCACTTACTTGAACTGTCATCTAATTAATTTTGGTAAATTTGTTTAACATAAGCATATTAGTATTTACTACTTTTGAATTATAATTCTATATTTAAAATGCAATAATTAAAATAAATACAAATTTTCGCATTGAAAGTAGACGTGTGGCCAAAATACACTCTGCAAGAGTATTCAAGATTAACATACTAAGTAGCAGATGATCAATTCTGAAATAAATGGAAAGGTTCAGCGTTTCGCTTTTTCATTTGATATTTACAGTTAAGTTGGTCAAATTGATTCATAGTAAGGGATGGTGTTATATATACTATTCACTCTTGGTGGGGAGTTCTTTCTAAACTCTAGCAATTAATGACCAAGTTGAATGCTATTTAAGATCTGAGACTCACTTTAACAAATGATACAGAGTTGAGACACAGCAGGTGAGCACGCTGTGCGACATAGTTGTACTCTGCTTGTCGATGTCTATTATGTGACAATCTTATACCCACACTAATGGTTTCACTCAACAGTGGCAATTGTTTTGAAATGATACATCAGATTTATTTTTATGAAGGATTAGCATGTGCAATTTTAATAATCAACCAATTATTAAAAAGATTTTTCACAGTACTAAACCATTTTGGAATGGATAATTGCATTTATTTGCAACTCGGGAACAATGTCAGGGGGTTTTCTAGGAACTTTCAGAAATGGATATACCCTTTTTTTATTTTAACAAAAGATATCACAATATTCAAGAATGTAGGAATTAAAATATTAAAATGTCCTGTACTGCTATACAATATTCTATCATTTTAATGACAAATGTACAATAGGCTTCAAAATCTTTCTATTTTGCTCTTCCTCAGTATTTGAATGAATTTCACATAACAGTATGATCTGTGAAGCACCTACAGTGCTACCATATCACAATGATTTTGCCGGAATTCCAGCAACCACGCTTTCTTCAATACCACAGTGGTTTTTGCCTCTAAGAATCTTGAAGAGGCCTTGACTGCCCCAATCGTAGTTCCAGGAATTGGCCACCAACCAATAAGGTACATCTTCTTCAACACCCCAGCCAATAATCTTTATGGCATGGCCCCCCAGCTCTGAACCAGAAACATGTTGATACACACCTGTAACAGTTTTACAATTTCTTTTTTTGGTCTTGTTTTGAAATACATGAAAGCTAATATCTTTAAAAAGAGGCCTGTGAAAGAAAACCTACAGGTCTGTGCAAAGAGCTTGTTGCTACGTCTTACATTATCGGAAGAACTGTAATAATGAACTTCTGAAGTGAAAATAATTCTTCAAATCCTATTTTGTTAATCAATTCTAAAAATTATCTTGCTGATCAAGATATTTCTAAAACTTTGTCTAATAATGATATTATTATTATTAATATTATTATTCTACTACTACTACTATTATTATTATTAATTATTATTATTATTAATTATTATTATTATTATATCACATCAATTATTTCACACAACAATGAACAATTGGTCCTTTGATAGAAGATTGCTATAAAATATTTGAATTACCATTGCAAATTGGAAACTTAAAACTTGCAAGGCATATACTTTTTTTTTTTTTTTTTAAATTTGATGCTAGAAAAGTGTTAAAAAATTAAGTTAATGACTTTACTTCATTAAATAATATACCTGTCTTATATTGTACAAAATCTTCATATACTGTGAAAGCAGCTTCCACAGGTCCATTCTTCATAATTTCCAACTGAATTTCTTCAACATCTTGCATAAGGGTATACGACTTTTGTCCTGAAAGTAAACATGTTGCTCATTAATTTTTTTTTATTTAAAAAAAAAAAAAAAAAAAAATTGAACAATTTGAAGGATTTGCAATACTATCTTTACCGTGGTAGAGGTCCTTTGTGTAATCTCGTCTATATCCTGTTTCACATTTTGTATGACATGCTGGAGTTCTCTCTTCATGACACGGTCCACGGCTACCATTCACATGATGCTCACATGGCTCAATTTCATAAGGTTGGCAACCCTACACATTAGTGTCAATTAAGTATTACTCGGGCAACTTTTCTTGAACGATGGATTGACGATTTTGCGTGGAGTGGGGATATTAGTTATAAAGTCGGCCACTAGAGTATTTTAAGTAATGCCAACGTCTGTGAAATGAAAGTCAAAACTGCATCTTGTGTTTAACTTTTCGGGAGTTTTACGTGAGTCCCTTGAATGACCTGGACCTGACACAGCCATTTCTTTCGATATTGACAATAAACCTGAACAGGGGTTCTGCACTATGAAAGCAATTGGCTTTGACTAGCTTCTGTTTCGCGCCAACGAAGTTTTAATGCTTGGAAGGTTGTCATCAGTGCCCACTGCGAGCTTTTGCCTTCAACTGTTTATTGCACAAGGGAGGGGGATCAAGGTCATCGTTCAAAAAAAGTTGTGCGAGTAATACTGTGTGCTACATTTTAATAAATAGATACTAATGTATAATGCAAATGTAGCTCAATTTCAAAAATAATATAACTGTGTTCAAAAGTCATAGCATTATAAATGAATATAATATTATAAGTGAATTTTAAAGGAATGTACCTGATGAGATCCATAGGGACCTCCACTGACAATTCCTGTCTCTACCCAGTATTCCCATGCTGCTCCAGGGAAACCACCGTTACATCCAAATCCACATGATGAACAACAAGACACCAAGTTTTCTGATGAGAAATGGAAATTCACTTTTCCTTCAGAGTGAATGCACACCCTGTCTGACATAGCTTCCACTGCAGCAAAAGCCTAAATAAAGACACAAATTTTATAATTTTGCTCTAATAACAAAAAACGAATAAATGTTTGTTACTAACCCAGCACGAACCGCAGGAGCCCTGGTCACGAATTTCTCGCAGAGTAGGGCAATACGGCCACTGCTGTCTTGAGTCAAATTCTTCTGGAATAGGTTCTTTCTCGTGAAGTTCTTTAACAGGCAATTGGTACATTATAGCTTGTGGGTGGACTCCCATCAAACGACGAATGTACGTAACAGGTACGTCTTCGAGAAAATTGCGTCCAGCCTGAAATTTACGATAATTGCACATTGCGTTTCTGGTTAACACGGAACAAAGGAATTGACTGAGGCAAATCAACTTACCTTCCATGTTTTGGCTTTTGCATTTACCAGATCTATGAATTCGTCGGAGAGAAAATGAGGCTGAGGTTTCACAGAAGCAGATGTAACACAACCGATTAATATGCTAACTAGCAGCAGATTGAAGGATCCCATAGTGGGGATGTGACAACTGACAACGAAGTTGAACACTTTAACACTTGAATGACGTGTCTGCACTGGCTCTCTGCTATGCACTAGCTAGTAGCTACCACACTTCTCTCATTTGTAGCACTATCAGTACTGCACACTGTATTCCGGAAAATTTACGGATCAGCTGACTTTGAATCAGTATACCGCAGTATACTCCTTTGTCCGATGCTGAATAAAAACATGTGAGTGTGTTCTATAAACGCATGAGATCAACGCAGGCTTACGCCGACCCAAAAGGAAATATTAAAGTAAACATACTTAATGAATGTTCCTGGTAATATTTGTTCCGAATATATGTACAAAAATATTCTTTAATTAAAAGGAAATGGTGATTTTATTCGTGTGTATTTTTAATACCCAACACGAAGTCTTTTATTAAGTTTCCAGAATTTTGTTCCAAATACTGGCTGCGTAGAATAAAAAATCCTATAATCATTAAGATATTTATTTTCACATTCTTATTCTGGAAACAAGAGAGGTTGATGTCAATTCAATCTGAATTCAAAATTAGACTAATTGATACGTACTCTCTGATATGATAAATTCACTGTTCCCAGCATCCACTACTTTCAAGTAATTCTGGAACGCACGCCCAGAAACAGAACAATTCAAGTTTGAGAAGATGGCGGAAATTTCAAAACGGTAACGTAATTCTCAATATTTTCAATAGTTTTATGAATTGATAATGTGAAATTGAAGACTAATTTTTATTATTGCGACTATTTATGCTTCAAGAAAGAAATGGAGGAAGAATCAGCTTACGTTTAAAGCTTGGTTCTGCTGTGATGTTCAGAGTTCCCCACCCGATGCCACAGGGCCCCAATGCGCGGTCGCTAAAGTTCACGTTATTGATCAACTTCGGATATATAAGTATAGTTGTACGCTCATTCCGTGCCTCGATGTCCAGTGTTAAGATCATTTGGTACCCATGGGGACGTATTTTGAATAGAAAAACGTCATGTTCAAGGTCATGAGGAGGTGTTAAGCTGTCAAAATGATGGGGTGCCCAAGCAATTTGAATGTTTGATGTATGTTAGCTGTCTGTTGTGAGTTAGCTCTTAATAAAGTGTCAAACAGCTGTTCTGTAGAGTCTGCTGATAAGATATTCATGATCAAGCAGGGTGAGGGCATACTAGGTTTTGAATGTATAAAATATTAATTGAAATTTCCATTACAGAATACCATCTTTGGATGTGTCGTTCCCACCTTGCAAAGGATCTGTCAATAAAAAAGGGGTTAGTTTTACCTCATATATAATTGAAAATAATGAATTGGTTGAAGCATGTTTAGTTTTGTGAAGTCATCTAGTAATATTGGTGTTCTATATGCCTTAATGTGAGATATTTAGTAAATTATATTTATTATTATCTACCATTATCCAGAATCTTGCAACATGGGACACTAGAAATCTGCCCATTGGGGGTTTCAACTTGGGAAAATGTAGCTCTCCGAGTTACCCATCACCCATTGATAGAATCAGGTTTGTTAGTTCAAGTAATACAACTGTCAATGTAGTACCTTATTTATATTTACATTATTTATTTATTTTTTTAACCCTACAGAAGTGGGAAGCAAGAGCGAGCTCTTGCTCTTGGTTGGACTGGATGGAGAGATTCATCATTTGAAGGCAATCAGAGCTTTCCACGTATTTCACGTCCAAAGTTGAGGAAAGAAGACATTTATCCAGACACTTTACATAAAATCAGAATGGATCGTATTCGAGGTCAGTTTCTTTTTAACTATGCAAACTTCTAGTAAATTTGATATTTTTACAGAGGTGGCATTGACTCTTCAATTTAGTGCACTAAAATTTTCAGTGGTTCATTAACTGTAGAGAAGTAGGTTACCAAATGTAATGTTTGTTTATCTTTGTTACCTCCTGAGCATTTCTAAGCTTAATTCAAGTAGATGCGGAAAATAGTTGTTTTTGTTTGCAGAAAGTTTTCCAAAGAAGGTGCAAGAAGAATGAAACTTTAACTAGGTATGGTGCTTGAATTGAATGTATATGATGTGTGTTCTCTAGTTTGAAAATGTTCCCTTTCTGTGCTTTTGTCAGAAGATTGACTTTTGTGTGTCAACTATCTTTTGATCAATATGAGCATGTATGCTGTGTAGAGTAGTTGAATGCTATTACTGTGTGCAATGTAATGAAATGTGACAGTTGTTGTATTGTTTTTTCTGTTAGATGATGCGTCCTCTATTAGAAGCTTTCTCATTATTGAGTTTAAGAGTCAATGAAATCTCTAAATCAAAATCCTTTTTATTTTATTTATTAGATTTTAAAAATTATGGATTTATGTTCTAATTAATATTATTATATTTTATTTTCGTGATAAAACTTATAAAAAAATTTATAATAAATATTTAAAATAAATTTTGTATTTTTAAACATTTTTAGTGAAAGAAATAGTAACTTGTGTGGGGAAATAATTTTTTGAAATTATTTGTATTGGAATTCATGTTAAATGTTTTTGCAAGTTATGATAGAGGCGAAGAAAGAATTTGACAACTTTGTTTTTGATGCCTAGGTGTAACTATTTCTGGAGGACCATTAAACTAATGTGTGAATTTTAACAGGGATACAATATAGCTAAATGTAAGCTGAATTTGATCACTCTATCTCGACTGTCCTGTTCTTGGCTAGACAGCCCCATATAGGCCTTAGCCAACCAGCGGTGGGTCAGCCTCTCGGCCATGGGATAAGAGATTCTTGTAGTTAGCAAACAGACATCCTTCCACCCTATATACTGGTGTTCTTAACCTTAGGGTGAGTTTTCTCATCATCACACAGTTGTAGATTTTGGGACATTTGTGAGGAAAGCGCACAGTTATAATTTTGCCCTGGCTGGGAATCAAACCTGGGGTTGTGCCATGGAAAGCGAGCATGTGAGCCAACAAGCCATTGAGGCCATATTATAATTTCCTCAATTAAATTTGCTTTGATTCTGTTAGGTAATTTCCTAAGTGCTGTTGCAATGATGGTTCAGTAATGAGGTATGAATGTTTTATCTAAAAAGCTTGTAATCTAAAGGTTTTTATTTGCCAATGGTGGTTTGAGCTAGGGGATGTTGGATTACTGTATCATTTCTTAACCAAATGTTCTCTCAAATTTTATTCTAAAAAATCCTCATTTGCTGTTTCTGAACTTTTACCACACACTTAAGATAATTTTGTAATGTCGAATTACTCAGATGTGTGTGATTATAATGAGGAACACATATGCTTGAAATAATTGTAAAGAATTAATCATGCCAGAGGGATAACATATAAGATGCAGTTAGCCATACTAACGTTATCAATATGAAGCAAAAATGTTATTCCCTTCTCAGTTTTTTTTTTCCCTCTTGGTGCTTCCTTGTTGTGCCTTCTTTTTGGTCAATATATTGTTGATGTTTTTAGAACATTTAGGATTCTAGTGTAGTTTAATCAGTGTTATCAAAGATAGAAATGCTGTACGAGAACAGCGTAAAAAGTTTCACTTCCTACAAAATGCTGTGCATGGGTCATAGAGGCTTCTTTATGCCAACTGTTCTCAACATTTTTGATCATTGCTGTATGTAACATTCATGACTTTACAAGACACTGTCCACATTTTTGTTCTTATTTTAATTTTTCTTCTTCGTAAAATAAGTTTGATAAAATAGATTTGTAGCATCCATAAGAGTTCTATTCTGTCGTAATATTGATCAGAATCAAATCATAATTATGACCAAATGAGTGTTTTAAATAGAAAGACGGACGAGTTGTTTTGCTAACCAGTTTAAATTTCAGTAGTAACAAAATAAAACAAAGTACTTCTTTGAAGTACAGTTAGCATAAATTACAATCAAAAATACATATATTTCTAATAAGGGAATTTCTTTCAAACTCGGTAAATTTGCAGTGTGAATGGGGGTGATTTTCTGCCCTGATGTTATGAAATCTTAGATGGAAATCACTGCTTCATTTGACTGTACTTCATTTTGCATAGTTATCCTTGATTTCCAGACTTTGTCTGCTTTGTAGAAACATCAAACCATTGTTTTAACAATTTTCTTACAAGAAATATTGCATGACGTACACAACAGATGGATTCTAAGAAGTGACTTCAGATTATTGCCATTCAAAATTCGTCTTTTAAGCAGTGAACTTGCACCAGTTTCCTTTTGCTCTATATACAGATGTTATTGATCTTCCCTTACCTTTTTTCATTCAGGGTCTTACAGCTACATTTTGTAGTAAAATATGCGCATTGGTAATATACAACCGAGCTGCTCTAAAGACTGGCCAGTGTAGCCCTTGGGCTAGATGTATGTTGTTGGTGGTGGTTTTGACAGTTCTAGTGCATGAGGGCAGAGGAGATAATAGGCTTATGCTGGAAATTGTAATTGCATTGGAAGGTTTAGTACCCGTCTTTGCTAAGTGGCATAATGTTTATCATGCTTTAGAGATCTGTAGTATAAGTACCTGTTGATGGTTTGTGTTTCTTTTGAAGGGAAAATAATCTCAATGTTGATTGTTGGAAAACAAAACATTTATTGGGAGAGGGAAGGTGATTGAGCTTTAAAACATTTGGTGAATATTAGAAGGTACAAACATTTGGAGAACTTTTTCTCAGTTTTATTGAGTTTGAAAAGATGTTAAATAAATTGTCCTTGACAAAGATTGGAGACTTGATTGTCCTTGACAATGATGGGAGAACTGAGGAAAAATGAAATAATTTTATTTTATTTTTATATTAAAAATGTTACTCAATTTGTTTTCTAACAATGAGCAAGCTATCTTGCATCAAAGTGTGACAACTGTAATCATTGGTATTATTTATTACAACATTATGATACAATGATATTGGCTGACTGAACATTGAATTTGCTTACAATGTATTGGCCATTCTCCTGTTACTCATTCTCAGTTCAAGCCAACAGGCTTGAATGGGCGGAAACATATACATGCTTTGCAGTTGTAATCATCATTACTCTTACTTTTTTTCCCTCCCTTTCTTTTTTTTTAATCTTTATTTTCTGTCTCAAGATAGTGATGATTAAATTACACTTATTAGCTTGATCAGCTTTCATTGTGGTGTGTCTATAGGAGATGGCCTAAATAGCTGCAGCTTCTCTGCAGGCAGGTCAAGAGGCTCTTTGTCCACAAGCCGCAGGGGATCACGTCTGTCTCAGGCGGCCACAGATCTTGGCTCTAATATTCGCTCTCTGAAGGGCTTCAGTGATTCGGCATGGTCATTCAGCAATAGCTTTGTGAGTGCACTTGGTGGAGCTAGCAGCAGCTACCCCATTACAACCATGAATCCAAACAAGGCTGTTTTCACAATTGACAGTAAAACTTCTCAGGTTAGTATCTTCATAAAAGTGTGAAATTAGAATTGACTTTGCTTTAATTTTGTCAAATTGTTATGCACTGTTAAACTCAGTGTATTGTAAATTTTATATTTTCATTAAAAATTAACTTTATAATGGTTGTAATTGTTTTTTCAAGTATCTTATTTATTATTTAATAATTTGGATATATTTCTTTATTAATTTTCATTTTAAAATTATATGTGGCATATTATAATACTTATATATTACAGGACTACATTTTTATTTTACTTTTACTTCTTTTTTTTTCATTCAAAAATCAGTTTGAGTGCTATCAGTGATTTGACAAAGATAAGAGTGAAAAAAGGGTGCTGAGTTGGACTTTGATTTTGAGTGTAATATACACACTTAAAATTTATTAATTTGAAATGAAAACAGGAATGATTTTAAAATAGGCAATGTAAAATAACTTCAAAATATCTGTAGTTAACATCAATATTTTTTATTTGAGAGTATGCTGAGAATTTGAGAATTTGAAAAGATGGGAAAAATAATGGGGAAAAGTTTATGTCCAAATTATGAAATAAATAATTAATTTGTCAATTTCTTTCTTTTCCTTCAAATTTGCTTTTTCTATTGGTAGATAAGAATGCTTTTCTTATTTATTGACTTAGATATTCTGCAAATGGTACATTTATAGAGGTGAGAGGCAAGAAATTGCTTATATAGATAAAATCAAATATGCTGGCTTGTTACACAAGTTCTTCTTGGAAATTAACTTTGTCAACTTAGCTTAATTGTAAGAAAAATGTCACAATGATGACAGTGTAATTCCTGTTTACATATTTGGTAAATGGGATTATAAATATTTTCTGGATGTGCATCAAAGATATTAATCTTTTATTACTTAATTTTCTCATAAAAATGCATATCTGTTATGAAAATCTATTTATGAAATGAAAATTCATAATATTTGAAAGCAGAAATGGTAATGTCATAGTTTAGCAAACTTTTCTTTCTCGTCTTTGGTATTTCACTAATTCGTTGACTATCCATTTCAGATTTTAGTGGTGAATGGCATGGCCTGTGGCCTGCTGGGCTTTTCTCCTGAGGAACTCTGTGTGATGAGAATTGATCAGCTCTTGAATGAGAGGCATAAAATGCAAATCACTGCCTTGGCTGAAGAGCAGCTGGACACTAAGGAAGGCAGCATGGTAGTTCTCAGTGGAAAAGTGGTAAGTTATAAAAAGGTTATTGTGAAGTTCTTTGTATTTGTCTCATAATTTATGTTGGGTATTTCTAATATTTGCAATTTTTTTAAAGATTGAAATAAGAAGGGGGATTGTCATTTTGTTTTGAATTTTATTTCGTGTTATGAGTTTTAAAACTCATGCAAAATTGATTATTACATGAAAATTGATACTCTATGATATCACTTGAAGATTGACACCTTATGATGTGGATTACAAGTTGTAAATGCTGTTCTGAACAGTGACAGAAAGAGAAAATTGGGTGTCCTGATTTACTTGTTACTGCTAAGCGAATTTACGAAGATGCCAATATGTTACCCCAGGTGGAGATGTTAACGAAAGATGGCAACGTGGTTCCTGTCTCTTTGTGGCTTCGGAAGCTGGAGACAGAAAGTCGCTGCTTGGCGGTGGCTGAGCCTGTGGAGAGGAGAGTGGCCAGGGTATGTTGAAACAAATTTATTTCTCAGTTAAGGAGGTGTTCCTTTGGGATACTTGTTTATCTTGTAAATGTCATGAGTGAGCCATGCAATTTATTTTTCTTTGTAATATGTTACATATTTGCAACTAAATCAGGGTTTCAATGATGTATGTTGGTGTATAAAATGTGTATATAAAATGGTGTATAAAAAAGTTCTCCAGGAAGATCTTTTCTGAGTTATTTTATGAAAATTCTAGTAGATCCCTTAATGCCTCAGAACTGTATCAATGTAGGGTAGCCCCATTGTTGTTCTACTGAGCTCTTCAAATTTTGTCTCATTATTAAAAAAAACAAAAAACAACCCACACAACCTTATGTGAATACGTAAATTTAAAAAAAAATCATTTTAGAAAAAAACAACTGATTTTTATTAACCCTGAGCTAATCGATCATTGTCAATTTCATTTACTTTCCATGTGAAAAATCAGAGGAAAAAATGAGAGTCAAGAAATTTCATTTCAATTCACCATTTTTTAAACTAATGCCATCTTGAGAGACCATTTGAAATATTTTCTCGCATTAAATGAGGCCTCCACAAATGTTAGAATAGACCAAGACTATAACATAGACACGTAACAAATGCATTGTTCTATAAAGATATCATTGAACTACTGAACATATCATTGAACTACTGAAAAGAGAAATAATGTTCAATCTTTAATTTCTAAGTTTCAAGTCAAACTGACTCTTCATGATTTTTCTCTCTAGACCTTAAGATACATGTTGTAAGTACTATATATTAACTACTTTAAAGAAACTGACAGATTTCAGTCATTTATTAAAAGAAACTTCAGAGTTATGAGTTAAAAATTACTGATAAAATATAATATTGGAGCGTATTGTGGAACAGTTGCTGTCCTCGTCCTCATCATCAGGCTGCAAATGTAAAGACATATAGCATTGATAAGGCAGTTCCAAATTTAAAACATTATATACAAGACGTTCCCTGTAGCAAACACTAAAGGCTCACCTTGTTGGATGTAAAAACGTAAGATAAGCCTCAAGTTGCTTATCCTGGGTACTTATGGCAATCTAGTATTTGGCCCACTCTGCTTCACATGGGTGAAGGCCCCCTCAGAAAGCGTCCTCCTGTACTATTGAACTCTTTGAAAGTTTTGGGTCTTGAATTTGTGTTCTTTGTCTTTCAGCATTTGCCACGTAAGGGGTCGGCCATAAATTACATAATGCTGAAGACAGGGGAGGGGTCTGAGGCAATGTTACCGCGTATCACGTAGGGGTAGGGAGTCATAGTTTAGTGTTATGCGATGCTGAAATTTATTTTTAAAGTCTTTCAACGTTTGCTGAAAAAAAATATTTTATTCGGACCTATTCATAAACATTACCAAATTAACAAATTAAATTAAAGAAGTTATATTCTATGAATTGTTAAAATAAATGAAAATAGTTTTCATCAATGATTTATTGATTGAATCTTTGAGATTACATAGAAAATATTTAAAACTGATCTATGGTAAATTCTCGAATCCCATTAGTTGGTTCACTTGGGGCCATTGTTGGTTGGTGCAGTAGATCCATATGTCATCAACGATGGCATATGGATGGCTTGTCAGAAATTTTCTCACCTGTGCGTCATTCTTTCATTAAAAAATTGTCCCCAAACTTATTGTTGCAGTTTGCACCACCAACTAATTTTCACGTTAATTATAATAAATTTTAATGTAAAACACAAATTCAATTAATAGAACTCATTTCTGCTTTATAATTGAGTTTTACTTATTAGAATTGGTGAGGGGGAGGGCTTGTCGCAAGCGTTATGTTATTATTAAAGGAGGGTTCAAATGTGCATTACAGGGGGGTGAGGGGGTATTCAAAATACTGCAAATTTGCATTGCGTAATATTTGGATGGCCACTAAGAACGTTCCCTGTGGCTCCTGATTTTCTTTTGGCTGCTCTTGTTTATAGCATCTTTAACAAACATTAATATGAAATTCTCGTTGTTTAGTTTTGTAATGATGAAGTTGTGATTAGTGAAATCATACATATTTGTACCTCAATTCCAAGGCACAAGAAAGAACAGAAAAGTTTTTGACTTTTGAAAGCTTTTTGCTAAGAATTGTTTTTAATAATACTGTCTCTTGTAGTTGGATGTAGAATTAATCAATTGAATGGTATTCATTTCCATATCTTGCAGAATACAATTTGTACTAATAGGGTGTTAAACTAAAAGTCGATTTGGCCTCATTGATCACCACATCACCAATGACAATTGAATTTTTGGATTTTGAACAATTTGAATTTATTTTCACATTGCATTTCACTTACGACAATGAGAATATCATTTGAGAATATCTATCAGCCTGATGAAAAATTTTAGTTTGATTCACCCGGTATATTTATGGTTATGTGCGTGTGTGCACGCATACACACACATTCCTGTTGTTCCCTTTTACATTCCTTTTTCATGTCAAGAAACTCAAATGCTGACAATAACCATGAGCTACAGAGGTGATAGAAACTTGTATCCATCTGTGCAATGTTTTAATAGTAAGAGGAGTTTCGTAATAAAAATGGAATTGGTGAAAGGAAGTGAGAAAAGAACTTTGAAAAATTTAATTAACTACTGAATTCATGATAATGCGTGGAAGAGCTTGCATGATATGTGAACAAAAAACCCAAAAGAAAGAAAGCTAAGTCACTTATGCATTGATATAATAAACTCAAAAATAAAACAGTGATATTAGTGCAAAGAAACATAAAAAAGCCTTTAACAGGGTGAGAATATTTTCTGAAAATAATTGTATAATTTCTTGTTCTGCCTTTCTGCCTGTATATTTTTTTTGTGGTGTATTGAGAAAAAGTCACTCGCCCACATGTGCGCACATGTGTTCTTGGTGGCTGGGCCTGCATCAATTACACCAAAGAAAACCTTATACATAGACCGAGCAGACACCATTTAACTTTTCCCTTTAAATTGCATGCTATTCTATTCATGAAATTATTAAATACAAATATCCCCATGTCCAATTGTTATTGGAGTTGTTATCATTTCTGCTCCTGGAATTAATAAATTATCAAGTAATTTGTAATGAGGTAGTGAAGCAAGGCTTTGCAGACTCATACTCACATTCTCAGACTAAGGTGCATTTCTCCAATTACCATTCTGCAGTGTTCAATTCACCAACATTGCAGTGATGAGCAACTGCTATTTTAGCAGAATGGTGTCTCACATGGGAACAAGCAGATTATTAATTTCTGTGCTTTTATTCATCGTTATAATTAGTATATCTGCAAGCACTCCTATTTATCGTATTTACTCTGGGTAGAGGCCAGACAAAATGGGACGTGAATCAAGATTTGTCAAGAACTGTACCCTTCAGAAAACTGCTGAATAGTTAGCCTGGTACCTCTACACATACACAGAAGATTACTTTACTATAAATTCCCATAACTAACAAATACTCTTGAATTCTCTAGCATGATTGTCTTAACACCTTTTCTGATTCCTTTTCTATGACCCCTATCCTCTCCGTTCTTGGAGCACTAATGCTACTAGAACTCCCTTGTTCTCCACCTCTTCAAGCACAGAAGGATTGTCACAGAATCTGTTTCTAGCCAGTGGGGGATGTGACCCTAATGTGCAAATGATCCTAATGTGTAAGTTCCAACTTTCAATAATATAGTTGACAGTCCTTTTTGATTTCTTTGTCTCCAACCTGGGTACTCACCATTTCCGTAACTTCCGGCATTTGTAAATGTTGGGCCTCATATTGCAATTTTGTTCAGTCTGAATTTGTATCTCTCTGCAGCTGGTGATGGACAGAGCAGGCTGCATCATGTCAGCAGATGCAGAAACTGCTCTCATTTTCCAGTACGAAGAGGAAGAGTTGGAAGGAGCAGACATTGCCACATTAATTCCAGCTATCAAGCTTCCTGGGAATGAGGCTGTAATAACAAAGGTTAGTTATTGTTAGTTTAATTGTAAGAATTGAATTTGTATTGAATGCAATATTTGACTTGTGTTTTGAAAAAAATGATTCCTCTTGGATTGCTGATAATGTACAAAATATTTTCAAATTGTAAGTGTATAAAATGGTGCTACACATATCTTTATAATCAAATAATTTATTGAAGTTGTGTTGTCTGGGTTCAGGATGTCAAAAAGCAGAAAGCAACTGGTCGAACCCGTGAAGGAGGCACGTTTCCTCTTTGTTTGCGAATGGCAGAAGAACCAGTAGATGACAAGGATATGGACAATAATGCAAATTCTGTTCTATATTCTGTTGTTATTTGGGTATGCTATTATGATTATCTATTTTGTTCTTTATACAATAAATAATATGAAAAGGGCTCCAATATTGTTTTGTAATATCTTTTGAATTATTATTATTATTTTGAGTAATCAGAATGTAATATTTTGGTATGGTACTTTATGTATATGTTAGTATCTTGGAATTGCTAATACTTAAGTTCATTTCTCATTTTAATTATGTATTGCCTTTCTATGCTTCAGGTCTTTGCAAATATGAGTGGTTTGGTCGTCTTAACTGATGATGGCACAATTGAAAGTTGTAATCATCATTTTACTCACATGATGTTCGGTTACCCACAATCTGAGCTTCTTGGTCAGGTGTGTGTCAAAAGAATCTACAGAGGAAATAAAAAGAATAGATGGTTTATTAACGAGGTTCAATTCCTTTTCACAGAAAATTACTAGCATCATCCCAAATTTTTGTGAGGATATGGAATATCTAGGTGACACTACTACCACCTTACCCCAATTCGACTTGAATAAGCCTGAAGAGGACGATAACAGTAATTATGATTCTGCTGTGGAAAACATGGATCCAGACAAATCTCGCAGTAGTAGTGTCCTGGTTGATTCAGAGTACTCAACTCCTGCTTCACGGGAATGTTCCAAGTGGAGTCGGCCTGATTCTGATGGTATTGAGATTCTAAAGATTGGTGACATGCCTCATGCCAGTAGTGAAAACAAAGATCGAGAAAATGGCAATGATAGTCTTGCTTGTGTTGAGGAAATTGTAGATTCCCTCAATCGGCTCAACTTTGGTATGAATTTTGAATCTCCAGGGTAAGTTTAATTGGTTGTTATTAAAAGTTTGAGCACCTCAGTAATCATGCCCGATTTTGAAACTTAAGTAGTTGTGGTGGACTGAAAGTCTGCAGTGGTCAAAGATTGTTAAAGGTGAAGTACATTAGTGAAATAAACTTAGGTATAAAAACATACATGGAAAAGGCTCAGGAATGTTAAAAATATATTAATGAAGTATTTAAAACAACGGGTGAGAAACTTACAAGTAAAGTTTCAAAGTTTACTCACCTAATTCAGGAATTTATGAATAATTTTTTAACAAATTGTGCAATAATTAAACATGTGAGAACATTAAGTTTACACATTTCATTCACACTATATGACTATCCTATTCCTTTTCTAAATGTTATGAGCAAATGGTAAAAAAGGCATTAGTCCCACCAGACTGAGAGTCTACTCTTGCTGATAACCTCTGCACTGATCAAACCCAAAAGAAAGATGATTTAAATAAACCGTATGTTGAAAGGCTTTCAAATCACACAATTCCTAAGATTGAAGATATGAAAAGGCAAGAGACAAATAAATTCATGCCTCTGAGAGTTCATGTGCGACTGTCTCTGGGTTAATGTATTAGCAGTAGGGTGGGACAATACATGACTTTTTAAAATGTGAGTAATATTTATATTAATAAAATACTTTTTGCCTGTAAAGTTTATTAAATTGATAAAAATATTAATACGTACATACATTAATTTAGAATTTATTTCAACCTACAATTATTACTACACTTGAAAATTATTTAAGTAATCACCTCCCCAATTAGTAGTCAGCAAGACATGCTTAAAGACATTCTCAAGTGTTATTTCTCATTCGATGTTTTCATTTCAGTGATCGTCATCCCTTCACCACCACAACCAAGCATCGATCTAAAATGACCATTTGCATTCCTGGCCAATTGCCCTCAAATACTATTCACTCAGGTTCCAGTTCTGATGCACGAGCTATACCTCCTGTGACACTTGATTTGCCTTGTGGAGATGCTGTCACAGCAGTACTAGCAGATGATGACAATGGTGAATTAACTCCAGTCGTTTCTCCTCACATGAATTTTGTTGAAGAAGATGACCAGTTTGAAACTGCATCTGATGATGAAGACAGCATTGAAGTTTTGGCTAGTGATCAGGGAGGTGATTTAGGGGATGATAAGGTAGACTTGGACCTTGACGGACTGGTGTCTCCCATTCCGTGCATCAACACTCCAGAATTGACAAGGCAGTTGGATGAATGTGTTGGTGGTTCACCCAGTGTACGTTGTTTAAATGGTGCTGATAGTGTAGAAAATAGTTTTAACTCAAGTGGTAAAGTTAGTAGTGCTAGTGTGGAAGCAATTGATCGGAGAAGTTCTCTGTCCGAGTCAGTGCTTGCCAGATGTGAAGAGCAAGGCCCAGGGCACCATAGCCATGCGCTGGATGACGAGTGCTTGGAGAGGCCTCTGGACATGCTGCTCACCTCCAGTCCAGCTGTTGGGAAGAGACTGTTGAAGCGGGTGCTCTCAAGGGATGTGGACAGCAAAGCCGATGCTGCCGAGAAGCAGTTTCCAGACGGCAGCTTTATTGGATTTGGTCGACACAAAGACGGTTCTAATTTAGGTATGGTTTTATTTTCTTTCTAACTAGCTTAAGAAACGCAACATTTTTCTAGTATTTATTTACTATAATCATCTATAAGATGGCAGGCATACCTGTGGTGGATGGTGTCTACAAGATGGCATGATGTTGCCTGTAAAAATGCTTCACAGTATCCTGCAAATTATGCAACTTTGCTCCTGGAAGGTGTCAGCTGTTGACGGTTTCATCTAATTGGGAGTTTGAACATCACCATAATGATGCCACTATGGTGACATTCAAGCTCCCGATTGGATGAAACATGTCAACCACTGATACCTGCCAGAGGCAGATAATTGCAGTATAATACCATTAACCACACCTTCATGGGCTTAGGTGAAAATCAGTATGAATGTATCTCCCAATGTGTACAATATCTCCCAGTCATACTGGTAACACAAATGTGAATATAATTTTCACATTAATTCTTATTGATCTCTTATGGGTATATAAAAATATATGCCATTTTGTGTTCTTCAGGAGTTTAAATCACCTTCCAATCATTTATTGAGAAACTGAGATATAATATCTATGTCGCTTAAAGGGTCTGTTTTAATTAAATTTATTCTTTGTGTGCCATGAAGAAATCTCTTTTTGAATAAATGAATTATTGCATGGCTTACTGAAAAATGTTTGTATTGTTATGTTATGAAGTAGTTAATAGTTATTTAGTTTGAGGGTCCTTAGAAATTTGTGATCAACTCTGTAACATTTCATAAAATTTCATCTATTTGATTTCATATTTTATTTGTAATATTAGCATAACTGAGAATTATTAATGACTCCTCCCGTCCTTCTCTACCAACAACACGTTTTGTACCATGCTGGGTTTCTTTGATGCTGGAGATAGAATTTTGCTCTGAACTTGTCACTACGTATGACTAATGAAATGAAGGTGAAAGGAAAGGCAACTCATAGCACTTATTTTAAGATTATCATTCCTGACTCATTTTGACCTTTGGCTGCTTATGTCATAGATATTGTGTACCGGGTGCGAGGTGTGGTGCTCTCTAGTGGCCGAGTGGTGTACTGTGTGTGGGTCTCCCGGGACCCTGAAGAGGTAGCAGAGGGTGGCCGTGCGGGTGGTGGCAACCTCACCCTCACGTCCAGCTTCAACAGCACCATTGACAACTCTCTGGGCCAGGTGGGTGTGCTCCTGCAAGACATGCTGTACCACTTCACATTTCTATATGTAAGAATCTGTTTTGAGTTTGTTTTAATCTTATCAATTGCCAGGAAATGATAAGAGTCCAAGGTTTACTAAAGCAGTTTTTTTTTTGTTTGTTTTGTATTGATAATGCAGTTGCTTTGTGTTTGTATGAATCATGTCTTTGTAATGTCCAGCCTTTGTTCACATTTGATGTATGGAGTAATGTTTTGAATAATTATAAAATGAAAACAAGTTTTCTTAATATTTGAAAAACATTCATTCATGATTAAAAAAGTTTATAAGTCTATTTTCTATTATTTTAAATTAATCAACAGACAAGCCCAATTTATGAATCAAATAGAGAATCTCAATACAAATCAAATGGAAAATACTCAAAAGAGAGAGAGAGAGAGAGAGAGAGAGAGAGAAAATAATACATTGGCAACATTGCTGCATACAATTTAGATTGTGCAAATCAATGTTCAATCACTATACAATTTAAATATACAGACAAATCGAAAAAATTGGTGTCCAACAATTGTATTCACTAAGCAGTAGTGCTTTTCTGATATTAAATATATTTAGATATTATATAAATAAGTCAGAAATTAGTGAATTCCAAACTGATCTAGTTAAGACCTTAAACATGAACAAAAATAATGGAACATTCTTGTTCCATGATGCAATTCCAACCTCTTCAATATAGCACTGTAATAATGATGATTGTTCATAGGATAAAGTAGATTCAACTTAAATGACATATAGGAGAAGAATTTGTTTCGAAAAGTTTTCATTCTTTTAATCATGCAATTCGGGCTTGATGACCTGGAAGCAAAACATATGTTTAGATGTCACTACAGAGTTATAGAGAATGAGTAATGCATCTGCATATTTTAAATTATTAGTATGTGTCTTAATGAAGCCCAATGTTTTTAAAGAATTACTGATCATGTCAGCAATATGATTTTTAAAAGTTAATTTTTTATCAATCATTATACCCAGAACCTTATAAAGATCACCAATTTTAAGATCTTTACCACCAATGGAATAAGTATTGTCATTCTCATTAAAATTTTTGTTACATCAAAGAAGTTTACATTTTTGAACATTAAAATATGTTTTGTTAAAAGAGCACCAAGTTAAACAATATTTCAAGTCTTCCTGTAACAATTCAGAATTCTTGTCATTTTCTGTTATGTTTATTGCTCACATCTTGTGCTTATTCTGTTTTATGCATGCACTAAATATTATATTAGAGGGCAAATATCAGTTTTGTAATTGTAGCAAAAGATTTCATGTATTTTCCTACAATGTTTCATTCAGATTGAATATCAAAATCATGATTTCTCAGTTTATAATTGTAAATAGATATTTCAGAAGAGCCCAATATATTTCAGAAAGGTCTTTGGGTCACCCAGAGCCATGAGAAGCACAGAATATCCTAAATGATTGTCTAAATTTGCATTTCAAATGTTTTTTCCTTAGTTTTCAATAATCTAACACTTGGCACTTAGATCCTTATGAAACTGTATGTTCAGGTGGTTATGTTAGGAAAAATCCAGGAAAAATGAACTTGCAAAAATTGCAAAAATTCAGTTACGCTCCAATATTTAATATGGTTATGGTGTAGAGAATTTGTATGTGGTAGTGAATTAATGTCCTAGATTTTTTTTTTCTATTAATTCATTACCCAACAACAATAAAGAAGTGTGACAATGCCTGTGATACAATTCAAACAATCAAACATGCCATCTGCATGTAATTATAGAGTAGTTTCCGTGGTAATGAAGAGGTAAATTTTTTTATGTCTTGCTTTTAGTTCGTATTTATTTGTTAAATTTGCAAGTATAGTAAAATGGCTATAGTTGTTCCCCGAAGGAGGCGACATTATCCTTGGTGCCCCCGGACGTCCCCACTCAGTTTTTCGTCCCTGTCTGTGCCTGATTGCTGCTACTTATTCCAGGCCATTCGGTCCTGTGCGCAGAGCAACGTGCCTGCCAGCGCCGGCAACCGATCTGGCTCAGTCTCAGTTCTCAGCCAGTGCGAAGATGAGCAGACGAGTGGAGAATATGGAGAGCATTACTCCACGTTACAGCAAATTGGAAAAGGGGCCTTTGGCTACGTCAAAATGGCCTTTCGGAATGAAGATGGTCTTCTGGTTGGTGACAGAATTTACACTTGTGAAATACGATAATGTGCACCTTTGTTTTGAAAATATGTTAGGAAATAAATAAAATAATAAAATTGTAAAGTTAATAAATATGTAATGAAATAAGTCATAAGAAAAAAAGAATAAATATGCACTGTGCTACCAAACAAATGTTTGACGTTTAATGGTGAAGCCGATATTTGAAGGTTTATGAAGAATAGAACTTTCAACATGTGCGCAGATTATATTTCCGTTTTCAAATTACCCAATTTAAAATGTTATTGGCATATCTTGGATGTTATTTTATCACCAACAAAACCAACAAATTAATGTAGTGTAATTGTATTTGTATTGTAATTGTAATTGTATTGACTTTCTAGGTTATTACAAAGTTCATCCAGAAACAGAAAGTTCACCAGCAGTCTTGGGTGGATGATCCAACTCTGGGGAGGAAAGTTCCCTTGGAGATAAGCTTACTCACAACTTTGAAGCACCCTAATATTGTGAGTATTATTTACAGCTCCAATTTATGGACCCTGTTAAAAGTTATAAATGAAATTGTTTGTTTTGTTTGTAGGTGCAAGTTCTAGACGTATTTGAAAATGCTAAATTCTTCCAACTAGTTATGGAAAAACATGGTGCTGGTATGGATTTGTTTGAATTTATTGATCGGAAGCCATATTTAGATGAATCATTGAACAGCTATATATTCAGACAGGTAAGTGCTTCATTTTTAATTTTTTTTTACTCTTAGTTGCACAAACCTGGCAATTGTAATTAGTATAACTAATTTTTTCCCTGCCAATGAATATAAAAGTGTGTCTTATTGTTACAGATTGTTTCAGCTGTTGATTATCTTCACTCTTTGAATATCCTTCATCGTGATATAAAAGATGAAAATGTAATAATAAATGAAAGATTCCACGCCAAACTAATAGATTTTGGTTCTGCAACATTTATGAGTGAAGGCCGTTTGTTCTCTACTTTTTATGGAACTGTGGAATATTGTAGCCCAGAAGTGTTAGCGGGCAATAAGTACATAAAACTTTGTTCTTGTTTTTTATGCTTTTATTTGTATCAAAAGAATGGTAATTTTGTTTTATGAATGTATTTTTGTAGGTATGAGGGGCCAGAACTGGAAATGTGGTCTTTGGGTGTAACACTGTATGTTATGACATTTGGAGAGAATCCTTTCTTTGATGTTGAAGAAATAATGAAGGCTGAATTGCATCCTCCTGGCAAGGTGTCTGAAGGTTAGCACTCTTTAACTTCTTTCTTGTGATGTTAACCATTTTGAAAATCATCATCATCATGAACTGTAGGTGTTTAGACTTAACAGTCCTTTCCACTAGTTATGCAGTATTCCTGGTAGTTAGTCTTTCAGGTATTCCTGCTGTTGCAACTGTTTTTGTGGTCTTCTCACATCTGTTCCCTGCTGGTATTTCTGTATTCCATCTGATAATGTTCTTTCTTTTTAGGTGATCTTGCCATTTTCTTTGAGAGTTTTCTGTTTCCTCTACTAAGTTTAGTTTTTAGTTTCTTTCTAATGTCTTTGTTTCTCAGTCTGGCCCTTCTGGTAACTCCTTCCTGGCTCTTTTTCATTATCCATGTCCCAGAGTCATACATAGATATAGTTTAGTCGTTATATTGTGAATTTTTAGTTTTGTTTTGCACCCATATCTCTGCCACAGATTCTGTTGTAATTATACAATTTATTTTCTAAATCCTTCTGGGTGTGGTTAAATACGCTTATGATATTTCCAAAATAAGAAAATTTGTTGACTTTGTCCACTATTTCTCCATTTATTACAATTTTGGCTCTCTTCTATTTTTTGAACTGATATTTTCATAGAATATTTTTGAACCTCTTTTGTGAGTTAAAAAACTGCTCTTTGCAGATCATCTTCATAATATTTTATGATTCTTTGATCATCAGTGTAGAAGACTGTATCTACCATTTTTTGTTTCCTTATTTGGTTACCCTGTTTAATTTTTTTCCTCCAGTTTCTCACTAGGTGGTCAATATATATGTTGAAGAGAGTAGGTGGCAGACCACTTTCCTGTCTAAGGCCCCTGCTGGTTGTTATTGTTGCAGACTTAACATTATTTTAATGTTGGAGTTTTCATGTAAACTCTAGACTGTGTTGAGTAATTAATTTGAAAGTTTTTTTCCCCTTTCAGAATTTCCTGTCTGTTTACTCTGTCTGTCATATCCATTTGGAAAATAATATCTGATATATTCATATGTAATGCATTGCTGATATTCCTTGTTTTGACAATATCCTTATTAGAAAGTTTGTGATGTAACATTGAACATGCTATTGATGGATTTACTAATATATGGCAAAGTTATCTTTTTGAAAAGATCTGATGTACTAAGTTTCTTAAAATGGAAATGGAAGGAAAAAAATGTTCATTGTTACAGAACTGACAAGGTTGCTTCACTGGATGTTGGCAAAGGATCCCAAAGAGCGATGCCGTGTACCCCAACTGGTTGCTCATCCATGGATCACTCAGGATGTAGACATGTCAGGGTACTGTTTCCAGGATGTTGTGTCTTGCCGTGAGTATAAATCTGATATTCATATTTGTGATTGTATTCAACTATATTTTTCTCTTAAGAGAATAGATGGGTTGGTAGATTTGTTTTGCTGTTTGTTGTGGAAGCACGATTGTTGTTACAGATAAGCTTATGAATCTGGTTATTTACCCAATTTTCAATTTTTTCTGTATTCTGAATTCATTTCATGTAAATGTTAAGAAAGTGTAATTTCTTTTCAGATCCCCAAGAAGCCCATCCTCCTGTGTTCTATGCAGATTACCGTTGCGACTCTGCCAATGATTCTCTTTCGCAGCAGTTCCCAATTACAGAATCTTCTTCTGCATTGTTATCCAATAATGATGATACTAATGACAGGACCGTTGGAAGTTCAAATTCACTTGGTAGTCTTACAACCGTTGAAAACTTTGAAACAGAGGATGATTTACCTGGAGGATCAGGTATATTGATGAATGATTTTTTAAATTCAGTCAAAACCAAAGGTTTTGACCAACAAAAACAAAGGTTTTGGGCTTGCAAGAGAGATCTCCAAACACATTGGCTGTAAACATTTCAGTCTCAAGAAATTTTTCTCTGAATTGATTTATGGAATTTATTAAAATTTAGTGAAGTATGTAAATAAGATAAATAGGTAAAATTAACTTCCCTTATTTTCAGTAAAAAAAAATCTGTTATTTACATTATTTAGAATTTTGTAGATCTTTAACCCTTCGGCGCGGGATGCCATCTCCAAGCATCTCCTTACACTTTATTTGTGGTTGTGTGTAGAGTTTTCCTTACCTTCAAGAAATGCCATCTCCAGATGGGATGACTGTGTATAAATCATTGCACAGTGCTTAGTACCTGCTTCACGCATGCACACTGCCTTCTAGCATACTACAGTCAACTATGACAGTCATCACTTTTTGGGTTACTTTTTCTACAAACTATAAAGGTGGCTTTGTTTTGTCCTTGCATTCAGTAAATGGAAATTTTTTTTGCATGCTATTGAAAATAGATGTGTTGAGGAGAGAGTTAAACACTCTTAAGGGAAAAAAAATTTATATTATTTCCCTTTATATTATATAAATTCACATGTAAATGGTTTTAAAGAAACCTGGCATCAACCAACACTGGTACAATGACCTTAAGAGGCATTTTGATTTGCATTTGTTTATAATGACAGATAAGAATTGTAGGGGGTGGAGGCTCTCCTCTATTGCACTACCCTTCCTCCATGCCAAGCACCGTGCAGCTATCTGTGCCTGCTTCGACAGTGTGCTGTTTATGTTTGTGCAGTGGTCCTACTCTGCTGTGAATCTCATATCTCGGCCTCATCACACAAGCATTTTACTACAACTGCAGCAAACTGCCGAATTCAATCTAGACACCGCGCAGAAGGGTTAAATCTTTTTTTGGGTACAAATGTGGATTTTAATGTGTAATTCTCAACAATGCCAGTGCGGGTAGCTGAGGTGTTTGGTGCTTGGAGTGCTCCAACTCCTCTCCCTGAAGGGTTGCAGTTTTGGAGGGACGTGGGCTTGGATGATGTTGGTATGTGTTACTTGTGAATCCTGTAGGTCTCTATTAAGGAGGTCTTAGCAGGGTGGAGCTGATTGTTTGTTGGATCTGTAAATGTACTGAAGTTCTCTGTGGAATTTGTGAATTCTTTTATAGAGCTGAAGTTGGGGAACATTGTTAGGGAAGCTTTTAAGAAACAAAAATTCTTACTGATCTATAGATTAAATAATGAAAGTAATCTTTACAAGTAACATTATAGGTTCTAATTTTTTATACTATGTAAAGATGTACTTTAAATGATTTACTTCCTAGTTCCATAAAGATTTGGAAATTTTGAAATGATTGAAAGAAATAGTTTGAAAATTGTAAATTTCTTTACGTATTTGTATTACAAACAGGTGATTTTTTTCATGCACTTTCATGGTGAGAGATGCCCAACATAGTTATCTTGTTTGACATATCAACAATTTTGGGAGATTGCTTTCTCCTTTAACTTGAAATTAGTCTTGAGCTGAAGAACTGCTATTTATTTATTTTTAATATAGTTAATTTTTTTGTGTTGTTTTAAATTATCAATTAGGAATATGACAAGAGGTGCCACAAACTCAATATATATTTGTATTATACATTCCATTCAAGTGTTAAAATACACAAATGGGGCAAGAAAAAATTGAAAAACTGAATTGACAGATTTCTTCATGTTTGATTACACTAGGGAAGAAGAAGACATTTTTTTTTCATACCTCCAGGATGAAAGTTGGTGATTTCTAAGGAAGTGATCACGCTGATTTCAAAAATCATTATAAAAGGTTTCTATCGCACAACGTACAAAAGATATGCACATATTTAGCATTTGAAATAAACAAAATCCTATACTCATTTCTGCATTGTCACTTTGGTTATTACTACAAAATTTTATAAGCATGTTTCATAGGAAATGAGAACAAGTTAAAAATTGAATTGAATTGGATTGTTGGAAAATGGATTTGTTGAGATTCTCCACAACATTGGTAGAGCGAATGACGATGATTTGATACAACCACAAACTAAGGTTTGTTGTATATGTGACACTACACTGGGTATCAGCCCATGGTTTGTCATGATCACAAGCACGCCATTTAGAATAAAAAGAATGTGCAAGTTTTGTAATTTCATATATTTTTTCTTTTGAAGTTTGAAATCTTCCACAAACGTAACAGCAGTTATCAGGTTGATTTGGACTCTTTCAATGTGAAATGAAAATATGCATTTCATCGAACTGATTCAATTCAACAAATCATTAGACGAATTTCACTATATAGAACCCATAGAATTGTAATGTAATAATATATTTGAGGCACCCGCAAACCAGTCACGAACTTCATGTGCACTGCGGGTACAGTTCTGCATGGCATCTGCGTGACTATCTGAGAATCTGACCCCCCCCCCCCTCAACAATTGTATACTTGCAATATGGAAAGGGGCTAAAATAATTTCTTTTGGGGACTGATGCACAATAAGAAATATGAGGGTGTCTCTGGTTTGGTTTCAAAACATTTCATAAGACCACTAAGATCTACTTATAATTGTGTGTGACTACCAGATGGGAGAATAAAGACAACAACTTTCGAATTCAGAAGGTTAAGAAAATTCATGAAAGCCTAATTTTGTTGATGTCTCATGAACGTGGCATTGATGAATTGAAGAAATATTTTATTTTTAAATAGATTTTGTGTGTATTGTCTCTACATATCTTACAGGTAGCAATTTAAATGTATTTGCATTAATAGCAAAATATGGTATGATACATTCTGAAGGTATGGTATATTTAAAAACTTGACGTTTGATGTTTTTATTGTGATATTCGTAATCTATGTATAAAATTGAATATGTTGCGCACTCTACCTTCCTGGAGGTAAAAATCTTGTTCCCTAGTGTTATTGAAAGAAATGTAAATATATGCCATCTTGAGAACATTAAGAATTTATGAGACAAATTGGTTTAAGTTCATGTGAATTCTTGGTCAGTGAGCTTATGATTGAAAGAGTCCATTGAATATTAATCTTTTTACTTTTTATCAACTACCTGTCCAGTGAGTAAATTTTATGTTGGGGCATTCCTAATCATTTAATTCAGATAATGCCAATATATTCCATTATCTGATCGTTTGCCATTATATTGTTTCAGAAACAAAACAAAATATTCCTGAAGAAGTGACTATTGATGAACATGTGAAGAAAAGTGTGGGGAAAGTCACACATTCCCTCGAAGAAGTGGAAGACCTGGTAGACCTGACCAGTGGACTTTCACTAGAGCCTGAAAGTGCGATTGCAGTGGAGGAGGATGATGACTGGGATCCTGATGAGTTTTTTTATGAACAAGATAGCTTTTCATGAGTTTATCTTTCAAGTTTGAGGTGAAGCGCTTGAATTTTTGGGGAGTATCAGAACCAACCCAACTGCTGTTTTTAAAGAGACTGAAAACATTAATTGAAAAAAATTTTTGGTAATTATTGTATATTGAAGTTGCAAGTTGTATTATAAAATATTGAAGTTGTGTTTTATTAGTTTGAAGAACTTTTGTGAATAAAAGTAATGGTAACACAATTCCTTCGGTGATTGCTATAGGAATGGTTATGAAGGGCATCTCATGTTGGTACACAATGCTGCAGACATTTGTGTATTTTCAGCCTTTAATAATCTAAATGCTGAAAATCAGTTAGATCCAATGAAGAGTGACTCTTCTGGCTGAGAAATCAGAGAAAACTGTGATTGCAAATTGTAAAATTGAATATTAAACTCCCCTCATTTTATGGAAATGTAGCCCTCGTAGAGTGGAATTAACTTTTCTCAGGTTTCATGTCATTTATAATAAATTTCCCTGCTCCTTCCTCAAAGTTTTTAAACAGTTGTAATCTGACTTATCTGCTTTTCATTGGTGGTGTCTTCATCTCAGTGTACTAATCATAGCAAGCTAGCCCTATTGTTATTGAGCTTGAAAGTACAAATTAGTTGTTGAAGTATCCTCTGCAATTGTGTTACTATTTGCGAATATGATTTAAATTTTATTGTTATTGTGAAAACAATTTCAGTATAATTTAACTCATTGGCTCGGAATTAATTTTGCTACGGCTGTGTTGAGTAGCACTCTGAGATTCTTCAGATGTGATACTTTTTATATTGAATATTATTTCCAAATTTGGCACAAATAAGTACAATATTTACTATGTTAGTTTTGCATACCACTTCTGTGAACAAGTTGTATGGGTGGGAATCATTGGAAGAAAAGCTTCATTGTGAGTAGTCTACACAGATTGTGCTCTGGGATTTAATGTCCAGATAACTAATCATCAGTATTAAAAGCTTTATGGGAAAATAGTTATTTGAGATTGTCATCAATTGCTCTCAAGGACAATATTAATGCAGGGATGTATAGAAAATGTCAGTTTTTCTAGTTCAGGCATGTTATCAGGATGTGTTTTTCAAGGAAATGATATTTTCAGATAATGTTATTTTTCTGTAAACTGTCTGTACAGCTCTCCATTTTAACCAGTTCAAACTCTTGTTAACTATAAGTGCCATACCTTACCACAGGGATGATACTTTTCCTTTTGTACCTGTCACATAACAGTGGTAAATGAACCCAACACAGTCATTCTAAGTGATGGTGCCAAACAATATTATTATTATGTATGCTTCTTGTAAAACTACAGTGAAGAAATACAAACCTCAGTTTTCTTTTCCTTTACTGTTTTATTACACCCAAAAATGACGGGCATTTGGTATGACTGTGATAGGTAAAAAATGTACAGTGCATATAACTTATTTAAGCATATTTAATGGACCAAATATATTTGTTTTTGCATTTCATAATTTACATTTTTCATTTTTGGTTTGTTTTTAATTCCTTACTACGTGTATTCCTCCTTCCCTTTTTTCACCCTGTTCATTAATATCATTTATATATATATATATTAGTGAAAAAGGTGTTAGTGCAAGATCTTGTATAGGAAAATATTACTGATTTTTTACCACCTGCATTCTTTGTTGTTTTTTTTAAATTTATATAACCTCTATGGAAATTGGCTAGATGTTCGTTTCATTGCATTATACTCGTATTCAATTCATTCTCCATGTTCCATTTGCTTAATCTTAATTAAGAAAAATATGAATAAATGTGCCTCTTAAAGTTCTCTGTATGTAGGAGAGAAGAGATTAAGGTTAAGAATTTTGTTTGTGTGCTTACCTTTTGTAGAGATTGAATGACACCATTCTAAAAATGTGTAAGGACAAAGTGACTTTGAAGTCATGTTGGTGCAAGATAGGTGCAAATATTTGAAGGAATTTGTGACTGCTCTTGAAGAAGCTTCAAAATGTTCTGAATAGGTTTCTGCGTCTGGCCTAGGTTCAGTAATACTTATACTGTTTGGTTCCTTGTCATTACAAACTTTTGACTGTTTTGTGTTGTAGGTTTTGGCTCTAGGCATGTTATGAGTATATTTGTGGGGAGAGATACATGCAATTGTGTCTACTCTGTTTTACTGTACTTAATGAGCTTATGCAGTAATTTGATATTCACTTGATTACACAGTGATCAATTTGATATCAAGTATAGTACAGACAAGAAACCAATACCTCAACTTTCATAGCAGAAAAATCTTGAAAAGCTTTTAGAACAAGTTGCATGTCAAGACATTTTGCAGATAAAGGTCATTGAAATGTATTTCTTGTTTATTCTGTAAATTCTGTTCAGTGTTAAGACATCTATTACTTGTGAAAACATCTTCTCATCTTGCATCCAGCATTTCACATATCATTATAATTCTTCATCTGTCAGAGTACAGAAGGAGGACTTTGTTGTGTATTGCTACTCTTAATAGTTTTAATCTGTACTGTTGAAATTTCAGGTATTAGAATGAATTTTTAGTGATATGAAAGGTGATATTATGACAATAGATAGATTTTGTTTGTGGGTGACTACAGAAACTGAGTGGTCAGGAGGATGAAGTAATGCAAACATTGCAGTGCAAAAAGTGACAGATGTGAGCATTACATGCTCAAATAAAAATAAATATATTGTGTATACATATACTTATTTATGTACTATGCTAATATTCATTCCTAACAAATACATATATGTAAATATGTGTATGTATTGTATATAAGAAATTATCTGAGAAGTGGCCTTTATTGGTGGATCTTCATAATTTACATTGCAGATCTGTTGTAGAGGTATATTTTAGTACAATAGTTGCATTGTCAAAACTACATGTGCAATTATTTCTGATCTGACTACAGATGTCTGATTTGGCTGTATGACATACTTGTCACTTTTTATTATCCTGTTGCAAAATTGTTAGTCATGTATTCATTAAAATACATTTGTACTTTCCTTTTGTGAATTTGCATCATATTTTCCAAGATGATATTTAAATTATGTAATTTAAATAAACTTCATAAGCAGTTTTGTGTATTTTATTTGTATGCTACTATAAAAAACATACTGTTTTTCTATTTTAATATAGATTGAAAATAAATTAATTTTCCATTTAAGTTTAGCAAATGTCTTGAAGATTTTGTTTTGCAAATTTAAGAAGAGAAATGGAAGTTCAATATATTTTTGTCATCAACACGAAGTACATTTCCTGAATTTAGTTGAAAGTTATTCCTTACAACTGAAAGTATACAGTATAAAGCCATGTAGGTAGGTGTTCAAAATCCCCTCATATAATAAAAATAATCATAATGAGTATTATGCTATCAGTTCATGGTTATGTGCTTTCACAATGTAAATGTTAAAAGAACTAGTTTTTTCACCAACAATTTCAAGAATAACATAAATAAATGATATTAGGGACTGAAGTGAAAAGGGGTTGAAAATTTGAAATTTAATCCGGGGGGTATTAAAAAATACATTTGCAATTATGCTCTGTTAAACCTTTTCCCCCTCTTGTAACAATCCTCCCCACAGTGGCAGATCCAAAGGCATGCTCCCCTGCAAACAATTTTTGCTTGTATATATATATA